TACATATACATACATCAATATCTGACGTCAGCCAAGAAGTTATTTAGCCTTTCTCCAACAAAGCTGCATGTTTAACTAACAAAGAAAGACAAATGATATACGTAATTATAATGCGTCTTTGGAAAACTATATTTCTTCACAATGAGTTACTTCTATGCAACAAATTCCATTCACTCACCAAACTGTCTACTTATAACATAATCCTCTACATAAATATCTTCATAATTACAGTACAAAATATTTCAAAAAGTTAAGTACACAACAAACCTTACAACAACCATATTTCCTTTAATATCACTGTACATGACATCACACCTTTCCTAACTGTTAAGTGAACATAACAAAAAAGGTCTATGATGATGCATACAACTATACTCTAACTTTAAATGTTTTTCTTTAGGCTCAATACACATAACAACACTCCACACAACCTCCACCCACCGACAGCACTTAAACATTGCCAGCTATTGTCAAGTTTGCTATTGCATCATTGATGCTCTCGTATAATATCATAAAGATTTATAAATATAATACGGAATTGCTAGTTTAACTGAATTTAGACATTACTAAGCATGAAAAAAATGTAAAATAAGACTGAAATTTATTTTTGTGTTCCACACAAAAAATATATGCCGATAAATTTTTCATATTTGATTTTGCAATAGGTCCTGCGAAGAAATATAGTAGGCGCCGAAAACATTAGCCTATCTCAAACACTGCTAGACTAGGTCTAGCCTTACCTCGATTTAGGTTCTGTTATCACACATAAAAACGGCAGACATGATATTTTTCCGTTGCTATTATTGACACTTGTATTACATTCCTTAACCACAGTCTTCTATATAAACCTGAATTTTTTTAGTGGATTGCTGTAGTCTATTGGAAAAGCAAAGTTTTTCAATGTATGGCCTACTTTGGTATCTAGGATAAGTCATATTCAGACCCCTATCCAGTGGCGTAGAAAAGTTTTTTTCATTGGGGGGGATGATTTGCGTGTTAGCCAGTGTCGTAACAGGCACGGGGGTGGGGGGGACAGGGGGAAACTGCCCCTCCCCTGACGGTTTTTACCGGGCTGACCAAGCCGTCGTACCGGCTGGGTAATATGAGAAAAGAAAGAGGGGAGAGGAAGGGAAAGAGAAAGAAGAAAAAAAGAAAAGGAAAGAAAAAGAAAAAGAGATGAGAAAAAACAGACAAGAATAAAAAGGAAGATATAATGACCAGACTCACAACACCCTGCAACCCCTTCTCCACTTCAAAAACTGTCATAACTCCTTTGATCTATGCTGCCCGATGGCTTAACCCCTGGGGGACAAGGGAAAAATATCTGTCTTTGAGAAATCTTCCCCACCTCTTTATAGATGCCCTTTTCATCCTCTGAAAGTGCCTAAAAACCTCAAATTTTCGCATTTCTTGTTGGCATGGGTGAATTTCCTCTTAAAATTGCACATTTTAGGGAGTTTTGATCAATTCCAACGAAATTAGAATTAAAAACACCGGGGGACAAGGTAAAAATATCCATCTTTGGAAAATCTTTCCCCACCCCTTGACAAATGCATCCTCTGAAAGTGCCTAAAATTCTCAAATTCTTTGCTCGTATTTCTTGTTATGGTAGGCCAATTTCCTCTATAAATTGCAAATTTTAGGGAGTTTTCATCAATTCCGACAAAATTAGAATTAAAAACACAAAAGTATTTTGCGCACTTCGCGCGCATTTTTTAGGGCTTTTTTAGGATTATCCTTTTAAGTTATTTAAACACATAGGCCTAATAATAGTCCCAAACTCAAGAAAGACAAATTTAAAATCGTTTTAACCTAAAAGAAGGGCCTCAACGTGTATTGATGGTGAAAGAATATGTTTGTAATAAATAAAACCATGATGAAAATGCTTATATTTAGTTTCAAACACACGTGTGTGGCCTACATTATAAATATGATAAGCCCTACCGTATGTCGTATTGTTTTCTATATGGGGAGTTGGGTGGGGTAGGTATGGTAAATTACTAACCGGGAAAATAACTACCATACCCACTCTGACCGAAGACCCCTGTTACGCGCCTGGTGTTGGCGCCAATGTGTGCCCTTGTGCGGACAGGGGATGTGCCCCCCCCCCCTCTGAAGCTGGAATTCTTGTTTTTGCAAAATATATTGATGCAATTTGCTATTATAGACCTAATCAATAAATTCCTCATCAACCGATATAACCTTAAACATTCTTGGAATTGACATAACATTACTGATGTCGTACACACCCTTCAGTGTGAAATGTGGCTTTCTTTGCAAGCACATCTAACATCTAAGGAAAGAAGAGCTTAGATTTGTAAAAATGTTATTCAGCTGTCTCTTATACACATCTAGATGTGTATAAGAGACAGCCTATGCCCCTATCGCATCGTACTCAGCTACATATAATTTCCGCATGGCTGGTTTTCAACATCAACCAATCACGTATTCAGTGAGTCAATATGGAAGTCAAAGCATACCCTACAACACTTAAATTTGCTATTGTGACAACCGTGTGGTGGCGTCTTGAAATGGAAGGGAGCTGATGTGGTGGAAATCTGAAGTTGGGATCGGTGATTAGGTGAGGGGGATAACTCGCAAAATAATGTGATTTGAGGTGATTTTTAACTACTTGAGCATGATTTGTGGGCGGTCAATGTGTGAGTATTTTTATCGGTTATCGAGGAGGGGCGTGCACGCACTCACACATTCTAGATATGGCAATACATAGCATACCCTGCAATTTACCCTACGGTCTGCCACTGGTCTATACCACCTCCCCCCACCAAAGCATATATTCTGTATTCTTTTGATGTTGAATGTTAAAAATTATGGATGGCCTATGATGGGATTAATTGATCATTATGTAATTACCTTTTCAATGACCCCTGGCACGGCAGTGTTAGAGGATGCGTTACGTCAGCCATCTTGAATTCAGCAAGGTGGACAAACTATGCCAAACCCATTGGGATGTAGGAATGGCATTCCCAGACTATAAATGCTGTACATTTGGCTTCTTCTCTAGGGGGTCCTGTTCCCCCAAAGGAATGCTGGCGCAGCATGAGGAGTGCATGCCTATCAAAAAAAGAAACTTCATCCCCCTCCCCTCCATTAGAAATGTTTAAAGCAAACAAGTAGTTATAAATTTTAACTCACATTTGCTTATTTTTCAAACTGGCACCCCCACCGCCACTTATTCATTGAGCCCCCTCATCATTTTAGCAACCTCATCAGCCTCCCCATCAGCCTCCCACATTTCATATCTCCTTGATACACCGCCACAAAGGGGCCCCTGGATGCCTGTTGTTGCCACCAAACTTCCAGACCAGCAATGTACAAAACTAACACTAAAGCATTAGACGAATACAGGTTGATTATGATAGTAAAATTGATTTCAAAGATATCAAAGTTTTATAGTTAATGTCTGACAGTGGTATAACCAGACGGATACAGTAGACTTAATATGTTAAAAATGTTATTCAGAGAATGATAGCCAAATGAAAATATATCATCCATAACGAGTCTGTTAGATTTTTTGAATACTTTGGTATACAATTATACCATCTGAGTTAAAGAAATATTTCTCTATTATATGATACAAGATAACTGAACAATTTGATCTTCAAGTTCATAATAAAAAATATCAGACAATTTTTCTTGATGTTAAAAGAAACATTACAAAATTCACAATTCACAGACAGAAGTTAATGAAATTTGCATTGCAACAGACTCCAAACAGTGTGAGGAAATTTTATAGAATGATTATTAGATATCCCAACAGCTTGAGTATGATCACTGATCTACAACTCAGAGATAATCAGTGCAAAAAATATGAAAAATTAACGCATGAGAAAGTTTCTATTTTCCAAGTTTCCTGATGTAGTAAACTGTAATAGGCATGTCATAATAGTAATATAGAAAATAATATGTAATATCTAGTGACAATAAGCAATTTTTTTTAATTCTCATACTGTATTGTTAATGTGTTCTGTTTAATCATTATCTTGATTTTTTCAATACGTAATTAATCATGTGCTATGTTTTTCTTTCCAAACAAATAAACATTTTATCATAATTAATAACCGATTTTCTGTATAATAGAGAATTGCTAAGCAACATTATACCTTTTTTCTCTGTGTTAGGTGTTCCAGGAGAAGTGCGAGCTAGAGGTGAAGAAGCTCTACAGGTTTTTAACAAAGAGTTAGAAAAAGGAAAAATAACAGTTAACCATGCGCGATTAATGTTCACAGGCAAAGAGGGAGTTGGGAAATCCTGTTTAGTAAACTCTCTCCTTGGAAAACCGTAAGTTTTAGTTGGCATAGCCAACTAGTACATATCCTTTACATTAGTTAAAAACATCTATTTCTTATTTGTGGCGTACATACCACAACCCTTACACCCATGTGCATATTGTGCATGTTATTGAATTAGTCACCTGTTAGATACCAAAAAAGATAACTGTATATTTTTCCTATGTGTATTTCAAATTATACAATACTTGTTCTAACTGAAGACACTATGATTACGATTTAGATGTTCTACCAACTGATCCAAACTGAAAAATAAGGAGTGCTACAGTAAAACGTTTTAGGTGAACAATGCAAAAAAAATGAAATCAAATTTTAAATAAAGCTAGATAAAAAAAAAAAAATAAAAAATTAAGTTAACATTGCTGATAGCTTATCGGGCTGGATGCAGTTTAATAGCATCTTTACCAAGACAATCTGAGCTACTGCTGCTACTACTACTTACTACTGTTGCTGCAGTTAGTTTCATTATTGTTCCTTTTCCATTATTCAACACTGTTTCTAAAATTATTTGATTATACTTATCACATTGCTATGCAGCAACATTGATTCTGTATACCTATTATACTACTAGCTGCGACCTCTAGAGTATACTTTACATCAGCCCTGCTTTTTGAGGGTGTATATCAGAGGTGGCGCCAGCGGGGGTGGGGGAGCCTCCCCCGTCAGGGATAACTGCCCCCATTGGGGAGAAAAAGCACAATTTGTCGGGGAGAACAAAAAATTATATGTATTTTCTACATATAAGTAGACTCTAAAATTGATTAAATAAGCCTTTGAAACCCCTAAATTATCAAAATTTTCGGGGGCTTCGCACTTCAGGACCACTTTTCAAACCTTTTAATCGAAGCTCGACCACGCGCACTTTGCTTTCGTCGGGAAAATCTGACCCCCCTGTCGGGGACCTCGGCCCTCCTGTCGGGCAAATCCTGGCACCACCCCTGGCGTATATTAGTTGTTTGAGAAACTGCCGTTGGTTAGATTATACATGCGATATACCACTCAACTGTAGTATTCTGGTGGTATGAGATTGTGGGTTCAATTCCTGCCGGTGAGATGTGTTCATACAATTGATTGGGAACTTTTTCGTTGATAGACTATGCCTGATGCAATCTTTACATCATTGTTCTTTTATTTGAGTACTATTTCTGCCAACTTGATTTGTATTTTTTAGAAGATGGCTAGTATTTATAATAATATCTCTCAGCTATGGCATTTTAATATGTTGATCTTGTTTTTCTGATCTTCATCGCAAGACTCCACCATTATATAGATTATCTTTACCACATACTTGATTAACTTGGAACATAGGAACTAACAATATACGGTCACTGATATTATCATATAAATATTCGCTATTAAGTGTACTTGTCAAGTTATTCTAATATATACTTTTGATTATTCTAAAATATACTTTTGATTTTCTGATTATTGCTTCAAGTATCACTATGTTGGATTGCCTTTTCTACAGATTTAATGAGGACGAACCATCGACCAGTGGGATAGAAGTATTGACAACAATTGCTTTTGGTTGTAATGAATGGAAGGAAGCGACGGAGGACATTGATGGTACGGCATGAAATAATCTAACATTTTTATTACGATTCTATTATTTTGGCGTGGGTTTATGAACAATAAATTAACCGAAAGTAGCAAAACCTTTTTGTATAGGTAATTCCCATAAAAAATAATTTATGACAATATAGCTCAAAGATTAAGACTAAGCATGGTTAGTGGCCACCCCCTTCTGCTCAGCCCAGTAAATACTCCCAAATCACTTAGTTTACAGATGTTCTGGCTGGTTCTTTCAGATTGTAATCGATGCAAATTAGTATATTAACATCATAATTTATGTATCACAATTTTACAGATTGTGAACGGACAAAGCAGATATTAGAAAGTACAGTAGAATGTAAAGTTGCAGAGAAGTTAAAGCAGACGAATAGACAAACAGAGGCTCTTGAACAGGCAGCGTCAACATCTACTGTAAGTTACTACACCTCCAGGATGTGAGGCCTTCTGAAGGCTTCACAGACCCCGAATGCCCCTTATTGAGGTCCCAGCAGCTGCGTAGACCCAAGGCCACTGTCGGTGGCCTAGAGTATAAACATTCAACTTGAAAGATGGCGGGTTCAATATCTACCAAACGTATATTAATAGATGCAATTCTCTGAAATTCCAAAAGATGGAGAATCGTTT